TTTTATTTGCCTATTAGTGTCTTAATTGAGTCTTTCTATGTCTTTTCTATATAATAGTAGTATTATAGCATATTTAATGTTAATTCCCTATTTATGCAGATTTTTGATGATTTTTGGGCCAAATTTTGCAGCAGTCGTGTAGGAGCAGGTATGGCAGAGTCCTATAGCACCAGTCCGTGAGCTGCACCTTTTGTCTGGGCCGAATTGTCCTTGGGCTGCTTTGAATTTGCTGGGTCAACGGCCTTAGGCCTGGTCAAAGCCCATTTTTGAAGCACCTTTTGTCCTATTAGAAGACCCTCTTGTGCAAGCTTCCTTAGCCTATAAATAGAGGCTTAAAGCTTTGTTTTAAACACTTGCTTACTTGTTTTTACACTTACTCACTTGATTATTCTTTATCTTTGAGTTATAAACAATTACTCTCTAGATTATTGCTTTTGATATTTGTGCTTTCGGTTTTCTTGCTTCCAACCAAGAACCGAATTTGTGAAGTTATAATTACATTCTCAAGTTTTAATTCAAGTGCTCGTATTTAAATCTTCATCTCATTTCTGTTTTTATTTCCAAGTTACAATACGTTTTCTGACTTTTGTTGCAAGTTACGAATTAGTCGATCTCTGTTGCTTACATTGGATTTCATCCTTTGTGGCTCACGACTAATTTACGTACACTAAATACTCTGTTCTCAAGACTTTGCAAGTAACTTTTCGGTCTTAGCAACGAAACTTGTTTTGCAAGTTTCTTCAAAGTCAACACTTCTTTTCAAGGATTTCAATTGTCACTTCAAGTACTTAGGGGCTGTTTGTTTGGCTCTTAATGGTTACATTAAGAGCCAACCTCTTAATAGGTAAGAAGTCAAGACTGTTTGGCAAAAAAAAACAAGCTCTTAATGGTTACATTAACCTCTTAATCATTTTGCACCTAGAGCTTCACTAAACCATTCAGATGTTCATTTTTCCAACTCTGCCCTCTCAAGCCGTTCTTCACATCGCATCCCCCTCCATGGTTTCATTCGCCGTCTTTCCCCCTCCATCGTCGGTTCCATTCACCGTCTTCCCCTCTCCCATCGTCGGTCTTCCATTCGCCGTCTCCCCCCCACGATCGTCGCCGCCCCTACTGCTTCCCGCCGCTCTCTCCTCCCACGCGAGATCCTCGTTCCTCATCCCACTCGATCGTGTTCTCCAACGTCTTCTCCAACGTCTTCTCCATTGTCTCTGTTGTCTTCTACATCGTCTCCTACTCGATTTCAGGTATTTCCCTTCTGTCTCCTTTTTCCTTCTCTCTGCAATCACAATGTCGATGAACTTAGGGCTGTTTGAATGAGGTAATCGATTTGATCGTTGGTGGATTCAAGTTATGAGCTAATCATTTTGGTATCTGTTGAATCAAGCCATTCTGATATCTGTTGAATCAAGCCATTTTGGTATCTGTTGAATCAAGCCATTTTGGTATCTGTTGAATCAAGCCATTTTGGTATCATTTTGTTATCTGTTGAATCGATTTGATTATTGAGGGCTTGAGAAATAAGCCATTTCCTTATTATGATGAGTTGTGCCTGATATTTGGAAAGAGTAGAGGCAATGAGAAGATGGTTAAAATGGTAATTTGTTGTCATTCAGAGAACATTTACCAAACAACCATATTTCATTTAGCACTTAACCATTCTGACCCTCTTAACCATTCTCACCACTTAACCATTCTATACAAAACCATTCAGCAACTGCCAAACAGCCCCTTACTTTACATCATGTCTTAGATTAATTTTAATTAGTAATATTTAGTTATTAGTAATTTAATTTCAGTCCTTTGCATTTCAGTCTTTATATTTCAGTCTTTACTTTTCAGTCTTTCACATTTTAGTCTTTACTTTTTTGTATTTTACTTTACTGCAACTTACTTTTCTGTATTTTAATTTCTAGCAATTTACTTTCAGTCATTTATATTTCAGTCATTTAGTTTCCAGTACTTTAAATTCCAGTATTTTCATGTCTTGTAATTTAATTTTTGCAATTCATTTTCTATAATTTAATTTTCCATATCAGTTATTTATTTTTCAGTCCTTACATCCTTCGAGAGAAGAAACCGAGCGATGTGGGCTAAAAGCCTTAGCTTGGGGTGTAACGGGAAATTAAGACCAAAACCGATGTGAAAGTACAAAGGTGTCTTATTAGCATTATAGTCTACCATTTGTTTCAGGTGCTTAATATTTCATTTGAGGATTACATTAAAATTAATTGACAAATAATTTTGTGTATAAAATATATTGACTTTCAAAACCTGAGGTAATAGGAGAAGGCTATAAATAGCTTTAGTGTCTGACAAATACTATACTTCTACGGTGTAGGATGGTAACACTGTGTTGTGCTAGGATTCACGATGTCTAACATAAATGATCATCGATAGCATGTTGACCGGTGTGTGCTCTTGGGAGGCCGTCTGACCCGATAGTTGATACTATGATAGTTATATAAAATCATTTACTGATTTTAGATAATTGTGACAGGAATGCTATGTCACCTTTTTGCTGAATCATTTGTTTAATGTCTTGATCAACTGTTGCACCCTGTGCTTCTTTTTAAGACTGATATTTTCTTAGTTGTTAATCAAACCTCCCAATTTTAGATAAATCAAATCCCTCGTTTCGCCATCTGAAATTAGTTTTTATAGACTGGACTTTTGACGAACATTGCAAAGCTATCTTTGTGGGAACGATATCTGGTATTGTACCATTATTACTTGTTACAAGACGACAGTTGTTCATGGTGTATACTTGTGCCGAGTTATATTTTTGTGTTGGAATCTAAGGTTGAATAAACCGACGACCAAGTTTTTGGTGCCTTTGCCGGGGATAGCACGCTGAAGTTTTTCTTTTTAAAGTAAAGTTTATAAAGGTTAGTTTTTCTACCATCTTTTGTGAACGCACCGTGCATGCCAAGGCTGTCGCACGATGAATTTTTTCTGCTTGATCCGGATTTAGAACAAACTTTCAGACAATGAAGAAGAGTGCAAAGAGCTCTTCGAGCTTTAACCTCTGAAACGAAGACTGAAAATGAGATTATTGACGGAGAAGGTATAATTAGAAATGAACCAAATATTCCACCTGAGGATGAGGCTCAAAACATCTTTCGTCTTGCAAATGCTAAAAAAGGTGGCATTATGGCGTATGCTATTCCTAGATTAACTCAATTGCACACAGGAATACGTAAACCAACCATTGGTGCCACCCATATTTCACTTAAATCACTGATGTTTCAAATGCTTCAAACATATGGCCAGTACGCTGGTTTATCTTCTGAAGATCCTCATTTTCATTTGCATTTTTTATGGAAATCACAGACTCTTTTCTCATCCCTGATGTTTCAGGCGATGCTCTGAGACTAAAACTTTTTCCATTTTCACTAAGGAATCCAGCAAGAGCATGGTACAATTCTATGCAACCAGACTCTGTGACTACATGGAATGAAATGGCAGAAAAGTTTTTGAAAAAGTTTTTTCCACCCACGAGGAATGCTAAAGCCAGAAATGAAATATGTACTTTTAGACAACTGGATGATGAAGCAGTTCCTGATGCAAGGGAAAGGTATAAAGTGCTGCTGAGAAAATGCCCTCACCATGGCATTCCGTACTGTATACAGCTAGAGACATTTTACAATGGCTTAAATGTCGTTGCTAGACAAATGCTTGATGCTACTGCAGGTGGAGCTTTCACTGCTTATACCTATAATGAAGGTTTTGACATACTTGAAAAGATTTCTAACAATAACGGACAATGGTCTGACCCACGTGCAATGCCACTGAAGAAAACAGCCGGAATAAATGAGGTAGATGTTGTCTCAACATTAACAACTCTGATCACTAAGCTAATTTCAAATCTAACATCTAGCCCACATGTGCAATCTGATGCTAATACCTTTAATCTTAATGTTCAATCTGTGCAATGCGTGTACTGTGGTGAAGGTCACTCTTTTGAGCATTGTCTTGGAAATCTTGAGCATGTAAATTTTGTCAACAAGACTGGACCATTTTCGCAGACTTATAATCCTGGATGGCGAAATCATCCAAATTTTTCATGGCATAGTCTAGCTCTTAACCCGCCAATGCAAAAGCCTCAAGGACAGTCCAATTTTCAACCGCGAGGACAATCCAATTTTCAACAACAAGGCCAATCTAATTTTCACTCATAAGCCCATCAAGGCACTCATAATAATCAACATGCTAATTTTCAGAATCATCAGTCTTCTTTCCAAAGGAAGCCCAAACAGCAAGCTGAATCATGTACTTCTTTGGAAGCAATGATGAAGGGTTTTATAACCCAAACTCAAGCTTCAATTAAAAATCATGAAACTCAAATGGGATAAATGGCTTTGGAGATAAGAAAAAGACCAGTAGGTTCTCTACCTAGTGATACAGAGATACCTCAGAGGGAAGGAAAAGAACATGTTAAGGTTGTTACTTTAAGGAGTGGAAAGAGTTATTTAGAAAATACCCAAAAAGAACAAAAAGAACCAAACAAAGCAGAGATTGAAAAGAAAAGTGTAGTACAAGATTCTGTTACCTCTGTACCAGATTTTGTAACTACCATTCCTGTGAACCATTTAGAGAGTACTAGTGAGCCTCAACCCATAGTCAGGCCCATAGATAGTACGGCCATTCCAAAAAGATCAAATTTTCCATTGTTATTTCCTAATGAACCCAAGACAACCCAGACTCCCAAAGAAAGTGTTGTATTGGATGTGTCACAATTTGGTGACAGTCCCGCAATAAATGACCAGACCAGTCCTATAATCCTTGATAGAACTGAATCAGAACCAATTGTAAGACCAGTTTTGAAACCCATTTCAGCACCAACTCTTCAAAAGACTACGTCTCCTATTCCAGTCACTCCATATATTCTTTATCCCCAAAGATTAAGGAATCAAAAGGAAGAATTACAATTTAAAAAGTTTCTTGATGTTTTTAAACTGTTGCACATAAACATACCCTTGGTTGAAGCCATTGAGTAGATGCCAAGTTATGCAATGTTTTTAAAAGACATTTTGAGTAAAAAGAAAAAGTTGACTGAATATGAGACTGTAGCTCTGATTGAAGGGTGCAGTGCTTTGTTGTCCAGTAAAATTCCTCCTAAGATGAAAGATCCTGGAAGTTTTACAATCCCTTGTTCAATTGGAGGAAAAGAGATAGGAAAAGCTCTATGTGACTTAGGTGCTAGTATAAACCTGATGCCTTTATCTGTYTTCAATACCCTAGGCATAGGTGAAGCTAGACCTACAACTGTAACTCTTCAGTTAGTTGACAAGTCCATAGCCTATCCTAGAGGAAAGATTGAGGATGTCCTAGTTCAGGTTGATAAGTTTATTTTCCTAGCTGATTTTATCATCCTAGACTTTGAAGCCGACAAAGACATTCCCATCATTTTAGGGAGACCTTTCTTAGCTACTGGCATAACCCTGATAGATGTACAGAAGGGAGAATTAACCGTGAGAGTCCAAGACCAACAGGTGACTTTTAATGTTTTTAATTCCTTTAGGTACCCTGAAGAAAGAGAAGAGTGTTCTACTTTGAGTCTAATAGAAACCTGGTGTCAAGAGAAAAGTTTGGGGGAGATCTTAGGTTTATCTGAGACTAATAGTGATGAAGAGGAAGATTTTGAGGAAATAGAAACACCACTAGAATCTGCTGCTTTTGAAGTTTTAGAACTGAGGATACCCAAAAAGGGATGAGTCACTGTTGTACCAAATGTTAGATAGACTAGCAGGAAAAGAGTTTTATTGTTTCTTAGATGGCTACTCCGGTTACAATTAGATTGCCATAGCACTAGATGACTAGGAAAAGACTACATTCACATGTCTATATGGAACTTTTTCTTTTAGAAGAATGCCTTTTGGACTTTGTAATGCCCCTGCCACTTTCCAAAGGTGTATGATGTCTATTTTCTCAGATATGTTAGAACACTCCATGGAAATTTTCATGGATGATTTTTCAGTATATGGGACATCATATGACCTGTGTTTGCAAAACCTTGAAAAAAGTCTTAAAAGATGTGAAGAAACATATTTGGTTTTGAACTGGAAAAAGTGTCACTTTATGGTAAAAGAAGGCATAGTGTTAGGGCATTTAATTTCCAAAAGAGGCATTGAAGTTGATAAAGCAAAGTTAGAGGTAATTGAGAAGTTGCCTGAACCAACAAATATAAAAGGGATCAAAAGTTTTTTAGGACATGCAGGTTTTTATAGGAGGTTCATTAAAGATTTTTCAAAAATATCAAAACCTCTTTGTTTATTATTACAGCATGACCATGTTTTCAATTTTAATGAAGATTGTAGAAAAGCTTTCAACATTTTAAAAGAAGCATTGGTCACTGCTCCTGTGGTAATAACACCTGATTGGTCCAAACCCTTTGAAATAATGAGTGATGCTAGTGACTGGGCAGTTGGAGCAGTGTTAGGTCAAAAGCGGGAAAAGATTTTTCATCCTGTTTATTATGTAAGCAAAACTCTTAATGATGCTCAAATCAATTACACCACTACTGAAAAGGAATTATTAGCTGTGGTCTTTGCTTTTGAAAAATTCATATCATACTTGGTGGGAACCAAAGTAATTGTTCATACAGATCATGCTGCCATCAAGTACCTTATTTCTAAAAAAGATGCAAAGCCTAGGTTAATAAGGTGGGTCTTGCTTTTGCAAGAGTTTGATTTGGAAATCATTGATAGAAAAGGGGTGGATAATCAAGTGGTTGACCATCTGTCAAGATTGGAAAAACAAGACAAACCAGTGCAAAGTCGTGACATCTGTGAAGTATTTCCAGATGAAAGAATTTTGGTTCTTAATCATACTACAGTGCCTTGGTTTGCTGATCTTGTTAATTACTTAGCTTGTGGGATTATTCCCAAGGAATTTAATAAGTATCAAAGAAAGAAGCACATTTATGATTCAAAGAAATATTTATGGGATGACCCTTTCTTGTTTAAAATTTGTGTAGATCAGGTGATTAGAAGATGCATCCCAAAAGAAGAAGTGACATAAGTTCTATAGCACTGCCATGCAGGACCTTGTGGAGGACATTTTGGAGAAAGTAGGACAACATCAAAGGTCAATCAGGATTCTACTGGCCTACTTTGCACAATGATGCTCAAAACTTTGTAAAAAGTTGCAATGAGTGTCAGAGGAGTGGAAATATCTCTAGAAGAAATGAAATGCCTTTAAACGGAATTCTAGAAATAGAATTATTTGATGTTTGGGGTATAGACTTTATGGGACCTTTTCCTCTATCCAATAATTGTGCCTACATATTGGTAGCTGTGGACTCTGTGTCCAAATGGGTGGTGTGATAACTGGATCTTGGTTATCACCCGAGGTAATAAATACGTGATTATCTGATTAAATAATTACGTGATAGCATGATAAATTTGTTTTATTTGATCATGCTAGTGTGTTGAAAATTATGTGCATAATGTGAATGCATGTATGAGATTATGTGTATAT